AAGGCACAATGGCTGCACATGAAAGATGTACTGTTTATTAGTCTCGCTGAACTCTTTCTTCCAATCCTTTCCAAGCTTCTCCCAGAAATCATTCATTCACTGAAGAAAAACTGAGAAAAGGTGAGAATCTGTGTTTTTACAGAAACCTTTCAGTATCAAGAATTGGGCCACACTTCAGTTCAGCTGTTGCGAAACTCCACTTTCTTAATGTTTAACAAGTCAGCTGTTAATACATTACAAAGATGTATAGATGCAACAAGCTAGCTTCTGCAAATAGCTCCAGAGTCAGGGTCAGGGCTAGAGCTCAGGTTATGGTCTGGATGAGGGTTTTGTTACTAGCATGCCATTAATCTACAGTAAAGAATGGTTATTAGCATATTTATGTCATGCAATGAGCACTTCATTAATATATTTCAATGACAAAATATTCGGAAATGTCACTTGCAACCTCAAATCTAAAGCATTACCTGCACTTCAGCCTCAGCTCTGAAATATCAGTGATGCCCTGAGTTTGCTGCTGCTGCACAGCCTGCAGTCACTCCTGCTCGTGTGAGCTTGTTGCGTCAGAGGGCAGACCCAGCGGTCAGCGGCTGGCCCTCCGGTCAGCGCACGCACCCGTTGACACCAACAGGGTCACCAGAGCGGAGGGGGCCGCATGGGGTCATCTTAAACCTTCGAACCCGGAACGAATCCAGGCGCCCGCTCACAGCAGGTGCACAGGCGCAGAAACCTGGTGAAAACCTTGTGAAAATGAAGGCTGGGCTACTCAACCGGCGAGTCCAGTCCCTCCCAGTCCCTCCTTACAGCCGCCTCCTCAGCTCCTGTACCGATCCTGCAGGTTAGCAATTCCACAGTCGGAGAGCCGGCAGCAGCAGAGCTGTGTCACGTGGACCAGCTCGGCTGTAGGCTAAGTGAGCAGCTCCAGTGCCTGTTAACTGGGCCCAGTGGGTTTCTCCAGAGCCCCCCGAGCTAGCAGCAGGGCTGGCATGTGCCCAGCCCCTCGCCACGCTGGCGGGGAGGCACCCCCTTTCTGCTGCCTGTCCCCGCCAGTCGTCCGCGCGCTCCGCTCCCCCCTGCTCCCCGCTGTCCGGCCGGACTCCCACAGGAGGGGCGCGCTGGGGACCGGCAGAGGGAGTGACAGCGCTGGCCGGAGATCCGCCCCCCCCCACTCGTGCAGTATGAGCCCAGGGAGAGAGCTGCAGTGGCGCTGCGGGGGCAGAGGGGGGCGCTAGAAACGTCGTGCAGCCAGGCTGGTGTCATGCGCGGGGAAGTGAGAGTGCGCAGTTAAAATCCCACCCCCCCGACCTCCGTGTTTAATGTGCTGGGCTATTCCCAGAACCTGCAGCCCACTCCAAATGTCTCAGGACCTCCTGTCACCACAGTGGTCGTCTTAATGCCGTGCTTATTAAATAAACACGTTTATTTCCAATTTCCAGCAAAGCGGCAGTGTCTCTTCTCACTCGTGGCTAGGAGAGTCACTTCCTTTTAGTGCTCCACTGTCCAGGCACGGAAATCCCAAATCTTGCATTATTTATGGGAGGATTAGGATTTTACATCACATAAAAATAAGAATCTTGTTTATCATATACCATCCCCAGCTGTATAGCTTTCCCAGAGTTGGGAGGTCAACTTTTAAAATAACTTTTTTTAAGAAAAAAAATTACTCTGAAAATATTTAGGACTAATGCTTAGGTGTGGTGTTAGGGTTAGGTTTAGAGTTAAGGTCAGAGATTAAAAAAATAGGTCCTGGCTAAGGTAGTAAATAATCATTTTGGCTGTGATCATGAGGTCCCCTGGTCCCACAGTGCCCCCTACCTGCGATACCAGGCACCCGCAGGCTTCAAGCAGAAGAAGGGCCAGTAGTCCGGGCAAAAGCAATGTAGTGGAAAAGTCATAGTGCCCCCTGGTGGCTGTCAGACTCAAGAGCAGCTCAAGAGCGGCCCTCAAGGGGAAAAAGAGAATGATCCAATCACAGAGCTCCTGTCAGCTGTGGACCAGTAGAGGACACTGTCCTTCACGGTCTTTTTCCTCTAATGCACAAGTTCCAGAACAGCTCCCCCCTGTGGCAGGAGGGGGAGCTGTGCAGCAGAAGATGCCACCGGTCTTTCAGATGAAAAGGGTAGCTCCATTTGAAAAAGGTTATCATTAAACCTGCTTCAGCTACTATCTCACGCCCATACTGCAGTTAGGTTTCAAGTCTAGAGACAGCGATGCTTCCGCAAAACACACATCTTGAAGAAGTGTATTCCTGAATAAAGAAAAAGTACAGAGATGCCCTCTGAGAGGCCCAGTCTGTCAAACACTGGAACTGCAAAACCAGTGATCAAAGGGCAGAGGTCATCCCCCAGGCTGAGGAGCAAATTCCACCCTCCTGGCTGTCCCTCTGTCTGCCCACCTGTCCGGTCCTCTCGCCGTCTGC